GCTTAGTTGATATAATGTATGAATTTCTGAAATATATATCATAATATACACATCTATTAAAACTAATAATCTCAATCGTTTGAATGACATCTACCCGCGGGTTACTCATGAATGAAAATAAAAAATAATATATGGTTTAATTTTATCTAGTTGTTGCTATTCTTAAATAATTTTTTATTAGCTTAATGATTTAATTTCTATCATTGTAAATATTTAAAATATAAAACATTATCTTTTTTAAAGGTAACAATATAATCATTTATATATAGTTATTTTTAACTATTTTTATTATAAGTAATTTTAAGCTACTTAATTGTAAAATTTTAGTGATTATAAAAATATTTTTAGCAAATATTTTAGTTAAATTGATATTACAATTTAGTTTTTGCATTTAACACTAAACTTATCGCTTTTAGCTATTCATATAATATTCTTTGAGTTTTTTAAGTGGAACTGAAATTAATTTTTAGTTACCGTGTTATATTATATTTAAATTAACAATTTAAGTATTTTATCAAAATTGTTTAAAAATTATCACTTTAAAATGATACTGGTTTACATAAAAAAACATATTAAATCTAATAAATTAAGACATTAAGTATAATTTGTTAAAAGTTAAAGACATAACTTTATAAGTATAAATAAATATATTATTTTAATATTAAAATTTAGTTTATTTATAATTACACTGTAGGTTTGATATTTATTTAACCTTATTACCCAACTTATAATCATTAAGAGAAAGATATTACAATTTATCAGTTTTAACTATTTACAAAATATTATTTGGGATGTTTAAGTTGAACTAAAATTTATATTTAAGTTGATCTTGTAATGTTATATTTAAATTAACAATTTAAGTATTTTATACAAATTGTTTAAAAAATTATAGCTTTAAAATGATAATGGTTTAGATACAACAACATTTTAAAGTAATAAATTAAGTATAATATATTAAAAGTTAAAGACATAACTTTATAAGTAAAAGTAAATTAATTATTTTAATATTAAAATTTAGTTTATATATGATTACACTATAGGTTAGATATTTATTTAACATTACTAACCAACTTATAATTATTATTAGAAAGAAATTGAAAAGTCATGATAGTTTCAAATGAATTTGGTGAAAGAAAAAATGTTTCATTTATAAGTATAACTAGACAAATGCTCGCGCGTTGCGTAAAAACACCTATATATTGATTAAATTTGATATAATAATTCGTATACTAAATTGATATAATATATTGATTATTTTTAATTATATATATATATATATATATATATATATATATATATATATATATATATATATATTATAACTACATAATTTGAATCGTTTGAATAATTTCTATCCGTGAGTGACAAATGAATAAAATTAAATATACTATATGGCTAAATGTTATTTATAGTTGTTATTGTTAAATAATTTTTTAAAATTTATCTGTTTAATATTTTAATTTCTATCATTATAATTATTTAAAACATCAAACATTGTTTTTATTTATTATTTTTCAGGTAACAATATAATAATTTGTATAGATTTATTTTTAATTATTGTTATTATAAGTTATTGTAAGTAACTTTAGTGAAAACTTTTAACGATTATAAAAATATCTTTATGAAATATTTTAGTTAAATTGATATTACAATTTAGTTTTTGCATTTATCATTACAATTTATGACTTTCAACTATTTACAAAATATTTTTTTGGTTTTTTAAGTGGAACTTAAATTAATATTTAAGTTGACACTGTAATGTTATATTTAAATTAACAATTTAACCATTTTGTCGAAACTGTTTAAATGTTGTAGCTTCAAACTGATAATTGTTTACTTACAACAACATTTTAAATCTAATAAATTAAGTATAATGTGTTAATATTTAAAGACATAAGTTTATAAGTAGAAGTAAAGACATTATTTTAAAATTGAAATTTTGTTTATTTATGATTACACTTTAGGTTTGATACTTATTTAATTTTATTAACCAACTTATAATCATTATTAAAAAGACACTTCAATTTATAAATTTTAACTATTTAAAAAATATTTTTTGGGTTGTTTAAGTTAAACTAAAATTTATATTTAAATTGACTATGTAATGTTATATTTAAATTGATAATTTAAGGATTTGATACAAATATTTCCAAAATTATATCTTTAAAATGATGATGGTTTATATCCAACAATATATTAAAACTAATAAATTAAGTATAATATGTTAAAAGATAAAAAAATATAATTTTACAAGTAAAAGTAAAGATATTATTTTAATATTGAAATTTAGTTTATATATGATTACACTTTAGGTTTGATATTTATTTATCCATATTAACCAATTTATAATTATTATTAGAAAGAAATTGAAAAGTCGTGAGAGTTTTAAATGAGTGTGGTAAAAGAAAAAAATGAATGAGAGTTTCAAATAAATGTGATGAAAGGAAATATATGTTTATAATGGTTATGATATTAACATTAACTTTAACTTAATATTTTGAACGATATTATTCATTGATATCAACTCACCTTCCTCAGTAATAAAATTAAATATAATTATCTATTTAATATTATTTTTAACAATTGTTATGATTGATTAATTTAAAATTTTACTTATGCGATTATTTTCAAATTTCAATAATGATGTTCATTTAAATTACAATTTATTTGTTGTTAACGTTATGTAATTTATAAATTGATGTTATTATCATTTAAAATTATTGTTCTTTAGTTTTAAACAATTTATTATTATTAATAAGTTAAATAAGATTTTTAAGAAACACTTGCATGGATAACATGACATATACATGATTTTTATAATTCGATTTTATTATTTATAATTATAGGTCATTATTTTTAAAACCACTTATTATTATTAATAAACGAAAGAAAACTTTTAAAAGACGCTTATTATTATAATTAAAATGTTAAACATATACTAAAATATAAAATGATAAAATAGACAGTTTGCATTTTAAAGAGATTTACATGGATATTATGTATAATATTGCATATCCATGATTTTTTTTTTATTAATTATTACTTTGAAGCAACACAAACATACAAACATATATATATATATATATATATATATATATATATATATAATAATAATAATAATAATAATAATAATAATAATTAAATAATATCTATAGCATTTTCCATAACATATGATCGATAACATGAATCCAATCTAATTTACATGAAAGTTTCAACCACAAGATACAATGATTGTGTTAAAAGAATACTTAAACCAAGAAAAAATTAAAAAAGAATAAGTATATAACAAACTTACAAATTAAAAATTTTAACACAATAACATGGCTCGAAAAATGGTCCAAAGCTCCTTTGAGTGTCTTTAGGGTATAGTGTCATAAAAATCGAGACTTTGACGTTTGAATCAACCAATGCATGAAATATGAGTATTTTGATATAAGAGAATGAGAGTTTTGGGTGTTTGTGACTTTATCAGCCATGCAAAGGCTTAAAGTCACTGAATTTATAGAGTAAGAGCCTTTAGGGATTCTAGATCTGTGATATGAACCAAGGTCTTAACTGATTAAGACCAAAATAGTAGAAAGAGCAAAACTAGGACGTACGACGAGCGCAATCCCAGTAGATGCATTGTAGGGTTAAGAATCCTCGATGCATGCGTGGCATCGGAGTACACCCAACGTAGAGATCTTATACGCGCAGCGTACACGCTACCGTTGACTTTTGGTTGACTTCTAGGGTTTGGTCAATTTTTGGACTATTAAGGCCATGGAGGGGTAAAATGGTATTTTACCCTTCTGTGAGTTTGAAGAAGGATTAGTATAGCTTCTTTGAGGGCCATCATTAATTAGGGATAATTATTGTATGTGTTAGGTAGAGGCAAAACCGGTGATTTGAGTTCGAGGTCATCCGATTTCTTACGAGGTGAGTATTATGATATTCTGCATTATGTCTTTGTGATTTGTGTTGTGTATTATTCTGAGCTACTTAGTTAGGACCGGAGGTCCACCCGAACTGTAGGACTAGAGGGTCCTACTGAGACACATTGATCGTAGGGTCTTATTAAGTTATAGCCTCTAAAGGTTAATGAGTTGTATGTGATATTTTGGGGAACTCACTAAGTTGTGTGCTTACAGTGTTATGTGTTATGTGTTTTAGGTATCTCTCAGGATCACGGGAAGACACCAACTTGATTGTACACACACCCGAGTTGGAGATATGTTTTTGGAGGATCTTGGATTTGTGATATATTCAGTTTTGGAACATGTGTTTTGATAACTTGGTATTTGTGGGATTTTTGTGATTTTGAAATGAGATAATAGTGTTTTTAAATTAAAAATTTTGTTTGAAAATTTACGGTGTTACAATTTTACTGTCTTTTAGTAAATAAATTTTAAACTAAAGTGTTTTCGTAAATAAACTTTATAATCACTTGAAATGGTAAAACAAAAAACTCTTTTATGAACAAGAAATCACAATATCTTATCGGAAAGACAAAGTAAGAGCCAATGTTTTCCTTTACAAACATACTCATAATATGCCAAAATTTGAATATTTTATTTTTGTACGTCTTTTGCATATAGATCTTAACAACGATATTGGATATTTGTTAATATTGACATCCCATATTGGACGGAGAATTCAACTAATATTTATACTCTTTTTTAATGTAAAATACTTAAAGTAACTAGAACAAAATTGCCTACAACTAGTAGGGAAGTTTCCGAGGAAGTTGGAGATAGAACGAAAGTGCAAAAGATGTAAAGAACCTGCCAAAGGTGTCAAACAGCCTACCATGCAAAATGCGATTATTTTTATGGATATTTAAAATTGATAACCATGCAATTTCCGATTATTTAAAAGATATATATGAAATTGCGCAAATGCGATTACATTTCAATTCAATCATCAAGAGGAACTAACTCGACCTTGATCTCACCAATGATAACTTCCTCGAACCCTGCCTATGGCACCAATGTCACCAAAATTAGCTCATCATCCTCAGCTTAAATGTCCTCCAAAAGATCAGTTAACCTGAACCTTGCACCACTCGTCATTAACATGTCGTCACAAGGGCTATGTAGCAACTGTGCGAAACTACCTGCAAACTCACTCTCTTCTGCAGAGCTTGCCCTGACATCATCTTGATCATTCACAAACACATCAAACTTGACATACTTTCCGCCATTATACTTGACGCCTTTAATCATCAACAGCTCAACTGCTTTCTCCTTCTCCTCTTTGCTTCGGTTGGTAGCTAGCCTCTCCACCAGGACCTTGGTGACTTTGTCTAGCTTCAATGGGAACTTCGTGTCCTCCACTTGATTTACAGTTCTAACCGATTTCAAAGCGATCTTGGATTTCAAGGTACGTGGAGTCGTTGGATTCTTGAACCATGTGAGTGGGGAGAATTTGTAAGCGTATCTTAGCTTATCATTACAGACACAGTCTTTGTTGTAGACACGAACAAGTTCTTTGTTTTCATCATAAAAAGCGTAAGATGCATTAAGCTAGTCCTCATCTTTAGGTTCCTTGTTTCTTTTGTCCAAACCCATCCATTCCACCCACATTCGGTTGATATTAGCATGATGGACATAGAACACAGGGTCATACCCAGCTGAGTAGAAATTCCCCTTGTCCTCTTTGTTATTCATTCTTGAGTCACCCACACATCTATGGATCGTTGTGTGACAAACAACTTCGATTGAACCAATAGACGAATCACGATTAGGTATGGGATCGCTCCCAGCGACATACTTGCCACCAAAGAAGCTTCGTGTGTCATGGACGTTACGTGTCATCTGATTATTCATTTGAGTAAGATTGATGCTTATCTGTTGAGCACAAGGAAAGCCACTATCATCACCACTATAGTTGAGGTCCGCAATTGCGAAATAGCTGGTGTTGCGGAAAGCTTCACAGGCAGGGTTTTCTAACTTTTCTTTTCTATTATTTCCATCTTCGAAGAATGCCAGAAGAGTCATTTCGGCAGGATTGTCCCAGTTCCAGAAAGGTATAGTGAAAGTGGGATCGTTAATTAACTTCCCGAGGATTCTCTCGTAGAAATACAAGTACCAACGGTGGAAAGGAAAGAAGAGCCATGAGTTGTGAATCTGAATAATCTTATCAGAGTTACCAGTCGCGATTTGAGTGTATTCGCTGTTACAGTAAGCACAATGAATTTTAGCTTGTGAAACGAAACTATGTGGGTGGTCGTCTGGTAGAGCTCTCATCGCTTTGAGTGCTGCTTTGTACTTGTCAATGTAGTCTTCAGGGGCTTTATGTGCCACTCTTCTAATCCGAAGACTTTTGTCACTAAGGAACACAAAATCTTTAACCTTTTTTGACAAATTAGGTGGACAACATGCATTGGTTCTTATGGCGCTCTTTAGGTCGAAACCATCGGTTGAGGCACGACATGAGGAGATGTTAGGGGTTGTGATTGGTTTGGCAAACACTGCCGGAATGGAGGTGAAGTTGACGGTGGTGTAAAGGTCGCCGAGGCCGAGGAGCAAGTTCCTCCGGTCCACATTAAGTGTGTTGACGTCGAGAGATGTTTTAGGGAGAATAAGTTTTTGGGTTTCAGGGACTACGAGTAACTTCTCATTCTCTTCGGGTGCCACATTGCATGAGACTTTTAAACGGTGGGTTTGTTTCGGGTAACTGTTGGAGCGGCGATTGGAGGGGGAATTTGGTAGTGTTCTTGGTGATGGAAGTGAAGGTTGTAAGAGATTGGAAAGAAGACATTGTTTTTGGGTGCTTTACTCATTTCATCAAGCTTTTTATTTATATACACTCTTTGTCTACCTAACATCAGTAATATCCACGTTTTAATTATTTTTAGTAATATTATATTATATATATATATATATATATATATATATATATATATGTCTTTCTTGAATTGCCTCGTTTTTATACATTTAAAAATAGGAATAATGATTTGAAAGGATAACAAACTTTCGATTTTTTTCATATTTAGTCACTAAACTTTTTGTATTTGTCATTGAACTATTGAAACTGTTCACATTTTACCCTTATGACCGGCTGTTACCGATCATAAGGGTAAAATATGAATAGTTTCAATAGTTTAGTGGCAAATAGATAAAGAAAAAAAGTTTAGTGACTAAATATGAACAAAATCGAAAGTTCGTTTCCCTCTAAAAAGTTCAATGACTAAATGTAAACAAACTTCCTCTTGTATTATGTTTTAGCAAATTATTTATTTTTGTTAAATTGTAGCAATATTTGTTGATGGAGAAATCTACGGAAAAAAAAAACCCTGGAAATATATTTAAAAAAAACAACAATCCGAAACCAAAATAAAAAACCAATGGTTTGACATTTTCCAAAATAAAAAATCAATATTTCCAATCTGATTTTGGTTTTACAAAAAAATAAACTATTCTCACTGATGTGAATTATGACCATTGGTTTGGCATGCGAAATTTGTGGCATCCCATGAATACGTAGTTACAACATCGTTTGAACTCGTAATTCATAGTAAGGGGTTAGAGTATCATCGCATGAATACGTAGTTACAACATCTCCTGAACTCGTAATTCATCACCTACAGGTTATGGGCCTACTGGTGTTTCCACTGGGTTGTCTAGAATAGTCTGTGGTCGCCATCTATACTCTTGTAGATGACTGCATTGCCACATTGCCGATTAAGGTTATGGTATCTCCTTTCATCCTACATCACCTATTCATCATCATCTATTTACCTAATTATCATCACCTTTCTATCATCACCTATCTCTCATCATTTTATTTCATCACACACCAACTATTTCATCTACCCATGTTTCATCCGCAACATATTTGTAGATATAAAATAAATATACCGTTTAAATCTTTTAAAACATGTATAAAATCGTTCATCCAGCATAGACAGCAAGTATTCAAATAATATGCTCACATAGCACGTAATTTATATAAAATATTTCATATCTATGTGTAAGATGAAAGTAGCTATATATACCATAAAAATCTCATAAATGTTTCCTAACTTCAAACCCCAAGGTTTACTCTACTAAAGCTTCATATTTTCGGCTCTCTAAACCTAGAAGGGTCCATATCTATAACACAAACTTGCAAGAGGGGTTTGAGGCATTCAAAACCCCAAAGATGAAGTGATTCAAGCCCTAACCCCAAAATGGAATCTACACAATATGGAAGGAAAATGTTCATTTTTGTACCCCGGAATGAAGCTCCTTGATTGAATAACTCAGAACAATAACCTTCCTTGGTCCTTCTTGCTGGAACTCTTCTCCTTTCTTGCAAAATCACACCAAAAAGCTCAAGATAGCTCTTCCTCTCACTCTACACACTCAAGCTCGTTAGGGTTCTCACTTATGGGAAAGGTAGTCGCAATTGAAGGCCATAAGTGCCTTTAAATATGGTTCGGGCCCAAAGATTTAGGGTTTCTACCAACAGCACGGACTCATCGAGTCGCCTCATCGACTCGTCGAGTCCATTCATTAATCCGAGTCATCAGTCGCGACCTTACTCAACGAGTTGAGGCGTCAAATCATCGAGTCTCTCTTCTTAACTCAAAAGAAAAATACTTAAATTATGATACCTGGAAATCCGGATGTTACATTTTGTTTTTTTATTTCATAGATTTCTTCATCAACAAATGTTGCTACAATTAACCAAAAATAAATAATTTTGCTAAAACATAATACAATAGGAAGTTTTTTCACATTTAGTCATTGAACTTTTTAGAGGGAAACGAACTTTCGATTTTGTTCACATTTAGTCACTAAACTTTTTTTCGTTATCTATTTGCCACTAAACTATTAAAACTGTTCACATTTTACCCTTATGACCGGTAACAGCCGATCATAAGGGTAAAATGTGAACAGTTTCAATAGTTCAATGACAAATAGATAGCGAAAAAAAGTTTAGTGATTAAATATGAACAAAATCGAAAGTTCGTTACCCTTTCAAATCATTATCCCTTAAAAATACCTTGTTTTATTTTCGACGGAAAACTATAGATTTTTTTTGTTATATGCTTGGTATTTATGAATAGTTATTGTACGAAACTGGATTATACCTTTTGTAAAATTAATTACAAATTATATGTGAAATATTAATTTCGAATTATATGTTAAAAAAATCAATTCTAAATTACTATTGTTAAAATGGTAAAATAATTTAGCATAATTATTTGATGTCTATGGTACATATGATATTTTGTAATAATAATATTTCTCACGTAGATGTAAGATATGGAGTTTTTTTACTGAACAATAGTGATAGGAAAAACTATTTACAAAACAGTTGTGGTTTGAAAAGTATTTAATGATATACAGTAAAAATTCAAAACTTTAAATTTATTTAAAATCGAAATAATAAATAGCGAATGGACCAACAGGGTTGCTTTCTCTTTTACCGATGTCATATATCATGTTACGGTTGCTAGCATTACGTTTCATTAATTTGATTATTGTCGTTATGAATGAAATCCTAATGGAAAGCTGTTTTCGATTTTTAAGAAATTGTTTATAGAAAATATAGTTGAATTTTATTTTCAATTTTAATGAAAATTTTAGAAAACATATTTGGTTGGAACCGATAAAGTTTTTATTTTTTATTTTAAAAATTTGGAAAAACTTTGAAAAACTGTAAAAATCACTTTTTTAATTTAAATACAATTTGAAAAACAATTTTTTTTTCATTTACTTAAAAAATTTTGAAAAAACTAAACGAATAAAACATGTTTTCAAAATCTCCATTTTATTGGAGTAAGCTTTTGAATGCACAAAAATCTGTTTCTTTTTCTTTTTCTTTTCTGCCGTTAATAGCAACAACACTTCATACCTATTTGTCTTTCTTCTTATTTGTTTAGTGGTTGAAGGGGCTGAACCAACATTTGGTATCAGAGCGCTAGGTTCGTTGGATCTTTAGAAGAGGTTTTATGTGAACTATATCAGTTCAGTGACAACCGAACAAAGCTCTGTGTGAGTCGAGTTCAAAAGCATGAAACCTATGTGATTGATATTTTTTTGAAGATTAATCTGTGTGAGAGAAAAGGGTTGTGCTGAATGAGCTCAACCAAGAAATCTGTATGATTGAGTGTTGGAGATCGATCTATGAGAGTTAAAGGAGAGCTGTGTGTGGAATTGAAGCTTTGGGTGAACCAGGAAGATAAGGAACCTGTGTAATGAAGGGAATTGAAGCTTTGGGTGAACCAGGAAGACAAGGAACCTGTGTAGTGAAGCTAACCTGTGTGAAGAAGCTAGTCAAAGTGAGAAAGAAGATCAGAAAAGAAGAATTTTGTACACCTGCAAGTGAGTGTGGGTGGGTTGAAGAAAAGAAAAAAGATCAGAAATAACTCAGGTCGATGTGATATGTGTCTATGTGATCTATATTGGTTGGTTCTGGACAAGAAGAAAGGGTCAAGTTAGGGAAGATGCCAGCAACAAATCTCGGTGGATCAAGTCATGTTGTACTCATCAGAAGTCAAAGTATCCCATTGCAATGCCCCAAGTTAACTGCTACAAACTATACAAGTTGGCTGATTATGGTTGAGTCGATCCTACAAGCATACGCTTTGTGGGAAGCGTTTTTCCAGAAACGAGAAAAGCGGTTATTCTAGAAACGGGAAAAGCGGTCAAAATAAAATCTAATGGCAAGAGCATTTGTGTTTGAAACTCTACCTGAAGATGTATTGCTTCAAGTGGATAAGCATAAAGATGCAAAATACATGTGCGAAACGCTTTGTTTGCGGTACTTGGGAGCCGAAAAAGTTCAAAAGGAAAGACTTCAAACACTTAGAACCAAGCTAGAGATGTTGAAGATTAATGAGGGTGACACAACTGATGAGTTTTCTAGAAAACTTAGTGAGATTGCTACAAAGTTCAAGAGTCTTGGGTGTAGCTTGGAAGATGAGATAGTGGTAAGAAAGTTGCTAAATTTGGTTCCTGAGAAATTCTTACAAATTGTTGTATTTATTGAACAATACTCAGAGATAGAGGACATGTCACTTGAGGAAGCTATGGGGAGGTTTGTAGGGTTCGAAATATATTGTAAGATGTTGAAGTGTACAACAATCAGTTGGATGTCATGGCTACAAAAGAGTATTTCTCTTTCAACCACAGAAGCAGAATACATGGCAATTGCAGAAGCTGCCAAAGAGCTCATATTATTAAAGAGTTTCTTGTCAGAACTTGGAATTCAACAGGAGGATTGTGGACTGAATTGTGAAAACCAAAATGCATTTCACTTAGGAAAGAATCCGGTTTTTCAAATTAGAACAAAACACATTCAGATGAGGTACCATTTCATTCGAGAGTTAATCAATGAAAGAACTTTAAACTTGAAGAAAATCCTTGGAACAAAGAATCCAGTTGATATGTTCACCAAGGTGGTTACCACTAAGAAGTTAAAGTTTTGCATGGCTTCAGCTGCCCTTTTAGAAGTTTGAAGAAAATTTCTTGGCGGAGAGAGAGAGAGAGAGAGAGAGAGAGAGAGAGAGAGAGAGGGACTACTTTGAGGAATAGTGAAATTTGAATGGCAGGTGAAGTTGTTCAAACGTTCAATTGGGACATTATTGATATATGAAGTCTTGTCTAACATGAAGCACTTAGATCACAATGGAACACTTGGGGTTCATGGAGCACGTGACAAAGGAATGGATCATTTGAGAAAGGAATAGATCGTCTGAAAAAGGAATGGATCAAGTGCCAAAGCAATGGATCATGCAGAAGGGGGTTTGGAGCACCTGGAAGAGGTTTGGAGCACTTGGGAGTGATATGGAGCAACAAGGGGACCTTGTTGTGTCATATGTTAAAGGGATATGCC